GGATCACTGCTGGCATTCCACTGAACCCGCTCTCAGCTCACGACTCGAACCAACCCCCGACTCTCTGAGAGAGTGAGTGTGGTGAGATCGCAAGAGAGAGAGTAAGCTCTACAACAACAACAACGTACTCTAAGAATATTCAAGAATGTTCTAGAAGGAATACAGTAACTTATACATACATACATACTACTACGTAGCCATCCTGCTACAATTCGGCCGTCCTGACATTTTAAGATCCCCTGATCTTGGTTTAATTTACAATTGATTTCGTCTAATATTATCTTACATACTATCAGTCTTTACATTTACAATTCTTTGGATATATTTACAGCTATTTTCGTTTACCAATCCAATGCCTAATATTTTGACTACTCCAGACTCCTTGATAAGGGCAACGCGACAATTGAAAACCTTCCACATCTTTTATTACATACCTATCATTTCTCAAAACTTTATCTATAACATAAGGACCCTTGTGTTTGGGTATTAGCTTCCTTGCGACTCCTACTGCATTATCAAAATTTTTCACCATAATATAATCTCCAACTTTGTACTCTAAACTATCCTTCCTTTTTTCATTATATCTTCTTTCGTTGTCATTTCGTAATTTGATTTGCGATTCCACTCCATTTTTCCTAATTTTGTCTAAATCTCTAACATCTCTAACATCACTAACATCTCTAACATCACTAACATCTCTAACATCACTAACATTATCTAATTCTTCTAACTTTTGCCTCAATTCATCTAATATAACCTGTAACTTTTCTTTTTCTGTATAAGCTAAACGTCTGGGCGAACAACTAAAAGGTTTAGAATCCTCTAATCTTAATTTTATTTCACATCTAACTTCGGGTTCCTTTGGTCTTTGTTTATTTACATAACAGCTTTCTACCATTTTAATAAAATGACGCCTAACATTATAATTCACTTCATTGCCAATTTTGTAATCTGGACTTTCATCTGTAATATTAATATTAAACAATTCCCTTGCCACTAGATCTATTTCATTGCTATTCCTAACTATTTCTTTATCTGTTACTTTACTAACATTTCTAATCATCTGCCTATTGTCGCTAATTTTATCACTAACATTGCTAACTATCTGGTTTTCATGACTAACAATATCACTAACAATCTGATTTTCTTCTCTAACATTTCTAACAATATCACTAACATTTGGAGGGTTTTCAATGTTCTCAACCGTAACCATTTTCAAAGTGTCGAGGTTTAAATTAATATTACATGCTTCCATAAAATCTCTTCCAAGGACTACATCATGACTCATAGATTTGTTTGCCACAATAACTAAATGAAAATGAATTTTATTTAAATTCTTCATAACATAACACAATATTTTGCCATAAGTTTCTAAGTAACTCTTATTTAATCCATGATATAAACTTAAAACTGGTAATTTGCAAACATTTTCTGGTACTTTAGATATTTTAATAAAAGAAATCGGGCTCCCTGTATCTATGAGACATTCTGTAGTTAACCTGGTATTAAAATCGTTCATAAAATTAATTTCAAAGTATCTTACATAATTATTATTGACTTCGTTCTTATTTTTGTTCTTCAAGCACGTCGCCACAAAATGTCCCATCTCGCCGCACGCATAGCACGATCCTTTCTCCCGTTTTGACTTCCTGCACTCGTTCGCCCAATGCCCTTTGGCATTGCAATTGAAACATCGTGTCTCCTTCTTGTCCTTGAAGTCCATTGATGTCATCGGTTTTCCAACAGATTTCGGCAGTCTTACATCCGCAAATGCTCGCTTTATGTGCCCAACATCCACAAAGCATTGAATGTGCGCCAGATTGCGCAGCCCTTGATTTGTAATACCTTCGATGATGCAGCTCAACATTTCATCTCCATCAATATTAATGCCCTGAGCAAGCATTATCTTGTCCTCAACATAACTCCCGAACGTCTCGCCTGCACTCCATTTGCGATGCTCAAATTTGCGCCTTATCTCCAGCTTTGATGATTTTTCGCCAAACATTGCGATCAGCTCAGCCGTCAATTCCTCCAATGGTAACAAAACACGCCCAGCATTTGCGTGCAACCAAACATTAGCTTTGCCTTTAATTTTGCTAATCATCAACATTTTTATATAATTTCCGGTTATACCGTAGATGCTTGCGATATTATATATCCGAGTGATCCATTTGCGCGCACATGATTCGCCCGCAAACTCACACAACACTTGCGTAGCCATTCTCAAAGAAATGTCTATACTTTGATTAAAATTGTTCTCCATCTCTTCTTTCTCTCCAGCTTGGTTCTGCATGTTCACTTCTGCACAGTTTCGATTTCTGCCTCCACCTTTGTTCTGTTCGCCGTCTCTTTCGTAGCTTCTTTCACCTCTTGTTTCCTCGCCAGCTTCGCTTTCGTTTTCTCCATCTTCGCGTATATATTCCCGAACTTTTTCACCGTCTTCGCCTTTGTCGTTCTTTTCGCCAACTTTGTTCTTGCCTTCTCCATCTTCGCTATTAATTTCGTCGCCTTCTTCTACTTCGTAATCCTCTTTACCGCCGTCTTCGTTGTTACTTTTTCCGCCGTCTTCTTCCTCGAAATTCTCGATGCCGCCGTCTTTGCAGTTACTTCTATCGCCGTCTCGTTCTTGGAATTTCTCGTTGCCTCCGTCTTCTCCTTTACTTTTTTCGCCGTCTCGGTTCTTCTTCATTTCGTTAAACTTATTGCGTTTTTCGCTCGGTAATTTGTTTAAACGTAAAATCAACTCCTGTTTTGAACCAGTCGTTGAACATTTTAATACACTTAACCATATTTTTAATTGTTTTATCGATACTTTGTTCAAATCCATTTTGTTTTATTAAATTGTTTCACTTTCTTACACCCAGAAAAAAAAGACCGAAAAAATCTAAGACCGAATTTCTTACATTACTACCGTTTTGTTCTTTTATTTTTTTAAGACCATATTCTTATATTGATACCAAAGGGTATTGATTTAAGACCAGTAAATTTAAATTTAAGTTGAACTTATGGACGCGCGCGAAACACGGTGCGATGGCCCAGTTGGTAAGGCGTCTGCCTCTGATGCGAGAGGACCCCGGTTCAAAAACCGGATAAGTCAAAGTAAGTAAAAAGTTTTTCAAATGTATTTCAATTAATATTTCCTTAATAACTTTAAGAACAAAAATGTATTGAAAAAGTTAAATTGTTAATTTACTAATTAAAAAAAAAAAAAGTTGTGTTGTGAGCGGGAATTGAACCTCGTACCCCCAAACACAAAATAATACCAGAATCCAGCACCTTGGCCCCTAGGCCATGGCCTTATTATTTCCTTCCATGGCAGAATGCTTACAGGAGCATTCAAAGAAATTTATTTTTGTACTAAAAATAAATTTAAATTTAAGTACGTTTTGTTCTTAGAGTAAGAACAGCGGTCTTAAAAATCCGTTCTTAAAATAATACCATAAATTCTTATAATGATACCAAACGGTATAAAGCTATTTTTGAGACTCAAACAGACACGTTTTCAGACACAATCAGAACAATTTTTTCCCTGAGTGTAGTTTTTAAACTTGTAGTTTTTAATTTGTTTGGCACGTGATCGGCCCACTTCTGATTTTGTAGGGGTATGATATATGTCCCTATTAATGAAATACCACACAGTAAATTATATGTTTACACAAAATAGTTTATAGTTTTATTTCACAAATTTTATATGGTCAGGATCACTGCTGGCATTCCACTGAACCCGCTCTCAGCTCACGACTCGAACCAACCCCCGACTCTCTGAGAGAGTGAGTGTGGTGAGATCGCAAGAGAGAGAGTAAGCTCTACAACAACAACAACGTACTCTAAGAATATTCAAGAATGTTCTAGAAGGAATACAGTAACTTATACATACATACATACTACTACGTAGCCATCCTGCTACAAATATTCTATCTTATTTGGTAGGAACTTTGTTCTAAGAGAATGTATATTCCATTTTAAATAAATAGAGAATTTTCTAATTATAAAATGTATTTTTCGCCGTGTGGCAATAAGTGTCTAACTTGCAAATGGCAGAGCAGCAAATGGCTGCTCCTCCCGGGGCAGGCTCTTAATTGATATGCAATAAACATTGGCCACCGAACGGCTGGCTGGCAGAAAGGCAGGCGAATGGGCGAATCGATGGAAGAGCTGGATGTTTGACTGACAGACAAAAGCTGGCACAACTCCGACAAGTAAATCCGGGCAGGACTCTATTTTTGCCCGCACTTGCCACTTTCTCAGCTTCTGTTTTGTTTCCTTTCCGACGCTCCCGTTTCCGTTTCCGCTTTCCCCGCTTCCCTTCTCTTCCGTTGGCCTGTCAGGCATTCAAGTTTAATGCGCTTAGTTGGTCCGACTCCATCTGCGTTTCAGTTTCTGTTTTTGGCCTGGATCTGTGTGCTGTCTTACTTTGTTTCCCTGAATGCTCCTCCTGTTGGCCATTGTGTAACATTTAAGAAAATTGAATTACAATGTATTTTGGTAAATTTAGCAAAAAGCGTTGCCTTTCTAATTGAGTCTCTGTGGTCGAGGCCCAAAACGCTTGAAATGTACGCAACGTAAATTGTATAACAAGCCCATTAGACCATAATTAAATGGCTATCTTCAGTGGCTCAAAGTGCTGATATAGCTGGAAATTGCTTGCAGTTAAATACTTAGTAACAATGCCTCAATAATCAGCTTGTACTTAAAATCTAAATCTCTCCTTCCAGATTTCAATCGACAACAAATTTACGTAGATGAAGACTTGGGCAAACAAAGAGTTTCAATTAAGATCTCTCAACTACTCATTTGTTATGCATTTACATAGACAATGATGTGTTGAGTGGGCTTAGAGCTAACTAAATAGTGATTGAAAGTTTCAATTTAAGACCAGGGCATCCCATTAAACATTAGCTTTTTGTTCTTAACTTTTGCTTAAAATTTTATTTTGTTTTTTTCATAATGATAAATTATTAAAAATATTAATTTCAAATATAATGGGATAATTTACTTACTCATTTTGTCTGACGCAACAATGCTATTGTATTGGCTGCCTTAATGTATTGGCTTTGGTTAAATTTTATCACGTATACGCCTAGTTGCGCATTGTTGGCTAGCACCGAAAATGGATGAACTTAATGGTAATATAATTCACAGTTTAATTTGAAGTTTGCGTTTCGACTCGCGTTTCGAATGCTGAATTACACACAAAACAGACCAAATAGGCAAAAATAAAATAGGATAGAATTTGTTATAACAGACAGGACACGCACACACACACACAGCAAGACAAATGCCAGCTGCTGTTTTGGATGTAGTTGTGTTTTTGTATTCCCACGCTAGTACTAGAAATTTGTCGCTGCTTTTGATTGCCATTTAAATGTGCATATTTAATTTGTTTATTTATCGGATGGAGCAAGGCCTCAAAAGGAGAAAAACACGCAGCTGAAATGCAATTTAGGTTTTAATTTTAATTTATTTATGGCCATTTATTTAAATTCTACCGAAAATATTTGCCGTATCCCATTTTTATTTGAACGCCATTTTAGCTTTTGTTGTGATAATTTATGCAAATTATTTTCGAATTTTCCAAGCCTGCTCTGCTCAATGGGGCAATTCGGCATTTCCCTCTGGCCGCCAGCTCAATAATTCATTATTGATTGGCAGAAGTTGTGTCGAATGGATAAACTTTGACTGAACTCAGATGAATCGACAGAAATTGAATTAAATTTCAATGATAATTCGTGTAGCTTAACTGTTACTGAAAAACATGTACACATTTTAACGGAAAATTAAAATAAAGTATTTGGTACAAAAAATAGAACCCTCTTATTTATTAAAAACATTAAAGCCCACCTCCTAAATTTGTATCCTCTATAAAATTTAAATTATCGCCTGAGTGAACATATATATCCACCTCCTACCGCATAATAACTCTTGCACTGAAATAATTCGCCTTTGAGGTAAGGCATTTCCGCCCTTCCCTCTTATTTTGCGAACGGAATTCGTATGCAATTAATAAATTGTTGTCTCGTTTCTTACGGAATTTATGCATCGCAAAATTAATATTAACGCCGGAGCGTGTAAATCCCGTTTGGCTACCAACAAAGAGATTAAAACAAAGCGGTTGATTAAATTTTTATGACTACAGTTTATTTATCCACTATTGCGGCAATATCATTTTTCCACTAGTTATTAACTACTCTTACTAGGGGGAAAGAAAAAGGCAATTAAAGAACAAGCAAGCATGATACGAGGTTCTCGACTTTTAATTATCCTCTTCTCTCTGTGCCAAACTTCGAAAAACTTTTTCAAGGGGAAAAAATGTGTTTTACTTTGTCACACTTTAATTAATGATTTTACAAAGTTTTACAAGTTTCAAATAATTTTGTAAGTCTAATTAAGAAAATATTTGTGCTCAAAAAAAAAGTTCGTTTTTATAAGAAAAGCTTTAACATGTAAAAGTTTGAATACTTTTAAAAACTGCATATTTATTTTTTTAAATAAAATGAAATATTTTATCATTATTTAACCTATTTTAATTTATTTAATTATTATTCTTCAAACTAATACACCCTCCGTTCTCGATTACCCAGTATAACACGTTTAAATGTCATTTTAATTAAAATAAAAACGTCCGGTTGAACAACTCCCGATTTGTTTATAAAAATGGCAGCTGGAATAATTGTATTAAGGTCGAGTTGCGGCATTCGGGATGGACACGTTCCAGTGAACCGTTGCCCAATTTGAGTTTTGTTCAATTTAAAATAATTAAAATGCCGCATATAAGCCTAGGCGCAAATCCTTTTCAGAGATGCCGAACCTTTTTTGCAACCGCAAATATTATAATGTGCCCCGGATGCCCAACCGATTTTCGGTCGTCCTTCGGCCTTCCAAAATTTTTGGGTACTTGAGCGTTGCTAAGCAAGATTTATGAGCCGCCAGAGGGGGCGTGGCATTGCCATTGCCATGGCCTGTGCACTGGTTATTTATTTTTTTGTTGGTATTTGCCAAGGTCTTTCGCTTTGTTTGCCATCTTTTGCGGCCTCCGAGAAGTTTTCAACTGGCCTTGCTCTTGCCCCTTTCCTCCTCCCCGACCAATGACCATTAGTTCTCATCTACGGGTTGTGGCATTTAAATAATTTAAAACATTTGAACGTTTTGGGGCAATTTGGTTAATGGCCTGTGCCTGCGAAGCAAAGGGTTCGAAGGGTTGGGAGTCCCCAAACGAGCTCGTAAATAACGCCAGGCCAACGATAACGATTCGGCTGTCTCAGCTGCCTAATGTGCACGATCAGAGATAAATCCGGGAAAAGGGATAAATAAGCTACCAAAAAACTAAGCTTAAAGACTTCGACAGCTTTAAGGACATGTGACGCAGGTCCCTGCAACGCTCGCTTATGTGGCGCACTAGTTCAAGGACTCGTCCAACTAGCTCCAACCCAATTACGCAAAAAAGTACACAAGCACACTTTTGAACAAAACCCGGTACACACAGGGGAAAAAGTTGTAACTATCGAGTTAAAAGTTGAATTCAATTGTCTTGTTTGTAAATAAATAATAATTTTCGCAACTTTAGGATTGATAAAACTTAAGATAGAAACTCAAATATATGATTTAAAAATCTTATATAATATATCTATAAAACTTAAATCTCTCAGTTTTCTTTGTAAATTGAAAATAATTGGATAATATTCGGAACATGTTATAAAGTTTTAGGTTTATTTTCATGGTTTTCCCCCGTGTACGGACTTAAAATAAATGGCATCCAACCTGCCCTGGCAACCTTTAACCCTAAAAATGCGACCCGACCTAGAAATGTGTGTTTGCTCGCTTTCGTTTCGCCATTTGCCATACGGCATATGGGCTATGGGTATGGGGTATCCTTTTTTGCACAAAGCTAGCGTGCCATGAATTTTTGTTTATGCTTGCGGGCAAAAGATAAACACTGCCACACACACACGTAATATGTGCCAATGCCAAAGGATAACGTGGGGAGCCACACACACACACATATCCCGACTGACGACTGTCGACTGACAACGACATAACCACAAGCAGATAGCGCAGCTTATGCAAACGTTCAAGGACACCGATGCAGCGATGTGTTGGTGCGAGGCTTTCAGGCTTTCAAAGTGGCGCCTGCAGGTTATGCAACACTTTTGTGTTTGCCCTGTCTGTGTGTGTGTGTGTGCGTTCCTTTCAGTTGGCCCAAAACTCGGGGCCTGGCTTTAATTGCTGGCAATTTGTCTGGCTAATTTGCTAAATTTGACACCTCAGCGAGCGCGCACACACTTACAAATTAATGACGTCAAAAATATAACTCTCGCTCTCTTTTCCTCTGCCTCTTCCTCTCGCTCTTCGGTCAGCTCTATTTGTGTGTGTATGAGTGTGCGTGTCAGCAGCTGCTGTGTGTGTGTGTGCGTGCTGTTTTCACTTTCACTTTCATTGATTTTCAAGCATCGCAACAAATGCTGGCCACTCACTGCAATTTCCACTGATTAATAGCAGATTTTTCACACAATTTATTGGCTAACTTTTCGCGGGAAATATATATGGATTTTCTTTTATTTTCTCTTATTTATTTTTTTCTATTTTTTACTGAACACTTTCTCTGGTTTTTCTCGGTCGCGTGGCTTCTTTGCGTGGCATCCGTTGGTCCGCTGACAGGGCAGCCCGCAATTTTCCACGTCGAACTGCGCTCGCTGCCAAAACTGAACTGAGCTTCTGCCAAAAGCGTTGCCATGGCCAAAGTAGCAGCAGCAGCATTTTGCGAGCTGAAACTGGCTTCGAAATACTGGTAACAGTTTTGCAGTTGGCGGCGCAGGCGCTTTTCCGATTCCGATTTTCCCTCTTCCGCCCTTTCCCCCTTTTTACGTCACAGCTCGCATCACACTGTTGCGTCCTGTTTTTCACTCTCTTGGCAGCTTTGTTTACATTGTTTGAGGGTATTTTCCTATTTTCGTGCTGGCATCTATAAATAAAGTTACGCATACGCCACGTGGGCTCGTCGAGCGAGGTGAGAAGCCATCAATCGCGTGATTGATTGCGGACATCTATTTTAGGCGTTAATAGGAAATTTTTCTGAAGCTTATATTATAATCAGGAAACTATTTTTGGGCAAATTACCAAGTAAAAAAAATTATTAATAGGAAATACATATCTGCAAGAATTTTCTAGTTTACGCCCTGTAGCCAGTCAAAAATATTCGCACTTATAAAATTTAAATCAAATTACTTTTTCGACATTCTTGCACCCAATAAACGTTTAGCTGGCAAAAGAAAATTTCTACAGGACCTCAAATTACTAGTTGTCCACGTGTCGAGCAAATTACTTGCCACAACTCAATTTGAAGGCCACAAATGCCCCAAAGAATTTGTCAATATATGTGCGCTTTTGGGTTAGCAATTTTCACGCTGATTGGTTTCCAGTCATTTTTCGTTGTTGCCTTCGCCTTTCATTTATTTTGTTCTTCGGCCAGAAACACAAAAAGTCAACGAGCCAAAGCCAAATGTCAACCACCCCTCACTTTCGCCCGCATCCCTCCAAGGACCTACGGAATTTAATAATGAAATAGCCCCGTCGTCCTTGGCCTGCGAACCATTTTCAATTTTCCACTTTCGGCTTTCGGCGTTTGGCGTTTGGCCTTCGGGCGAAAATGCGTTTGAAAAATTTCCCAACGAAATCGAAACAGGTCAAACTTTATTTATCCCACGTTCGGTCACGAACTCGCTACGCAGTTGCAATTACTGCATCAAAGAATCATTTGCAATAACTAATTAAAAGTTATTCCTCGCCGGATAATTTCATTACGCTGCTAACTTTTTTTCTGTCGCAATCGATTACATTCCCTTTCCACCCGTTTTAGCCATGAAGTTCGATGTGGGCCATAAATAACAACAAGTTAGGCACTTTCCCTATTAGGGGCGTGGCATGTTGTGTGGGCGTCCCTTGGGAAGGGCAGAAAGTTAAGGAAGCGGCTGAGACAAAGTCGAAAGCTGGAAAAGGGGATGCTAAGGATATCGAGCCGGAGGCCTGGCTGCGATTTTTATCAATGAACGATGGGCGACCTGACACAGTTATTATGCGAAATCAGTGGGCGGCTGTCCTTGTTTGTCCTTGCGTGGGAAGATTGTTGCTGCTGTCGATGAGATGAGTGGCATTTAAGAAGGGATATTGGTTTCGTTTTCTTGAAAGTCCGGAATCAGGGAAGATTAAACCTTCAGAAAAAGTTTGAGCTGAGCTTATTATAGAAAAACGGTGCTTAAAAAATTAATATTTGTCTCAAGTTTTTGAGTGTGACTAACATTTGATAAAAAACTAATTTAAATTATTAATTCAATAATTGCAACGAATGTATTTTATTACATATTCCAATTTAAGCTATTTACTAATATTTATATTCTTTAATATTTTGTTTTTCAAGAAAAATATTTTTACAAATTCTGTTTTAATGACTTTTAAAAAGGCATTTTTTCCAGTTTCCACGGTAGAAGCTTATGAAAAATTTGGCTGTAAAGAGAGTTGAAATTGGCCTTAACAAGGTTGGTAAATCTATTTGTAGAGCCTTGCCAGCGCCAGAAATCAATTACGGTCTATTCAAGGGTATGTCCGAAATTGTGACTCTAAATCAGGCATGGAATTCCATTCAGTGAGGCTTCAGTGGGTTTTAATTTCTCCTCCTCTGCTTCAGAGCTCTCATATCTCTGGACTGTCTGCCCGCCTGCCACTCAGCTGGCGGCCATATCGTCCTCAATTGAGGGCCAATCGAGTGGAGATACTGGCTGCGCTGGAACTTTAACGACATCGGCATCGAGTACCCGGCTAATCATAACCGATAATGGCCAGGGGGCGGATTTTCGTGCATTCAACTATCTAACCGGCAGTTGGCAAGTTCTTTTTTGCTTTTTTGGCGGGTGTTGAGCGTTTGCTGCTCATTAGGGCGAAACTGTTGCAAGACTTTTAGTCCTGGCGAACTTGCTCTTTGTGTGTGTTGGTGTGTGTGTGTGCCCGGCGCACTTACACTTAATTGAATCCTGCGGGCGTGGTGGATGGTTGGGTGGAAGGATCCTAGTCGGTGGGTGTTTGGGTTGGGAGGATGGGTGGATGGTGGTGAGCCCCTGAGGCATGCGGCATGCCAAAGCGTTTAGCAACCAAATACGCTTTCCTCCCGATTTGCCCCTGCCTTTGTTGTTGTTAGAGCTCACATCCTGCCGCCGGCGCATCCTCATTCTCATCCTCAATCTCGTTTTCATCGGAATTCACATGCATATCCCATCCCCATGCTTATTTTCATCCTCATCTTCATCCAGTGAACCGGGGAAGAAGGAAAGGAGCCACTGAGCGAGGAAGCGAGCGGCTCTAATTCAATTAGCAAGTTCAGCGCCAAAGCGGCAAATGGCTCGTTAAACACGCTGTGTTTTTGTAGCCCCCGCAGCCCCGCACTTTACCCTTGCCTAAGTGCACTCAGAAAATATCTGTTGATCTACTTTGGAAATTTATATTATTTATAATTTATAATTTATAGTTTAATATTAATGTTAAGACTAAGAAAGAATACCTTTATTTATTCATCAATATTAGGTCTAAATGTTTTTTTACCTAATGTATTAAAGGCTACGGAAACCACATTTATTACCCTCACCCTAAAATAGCTAATGAAAAATAATCCTTGCCAACCAAAAGCGTGATTCTATATAACTTTCTTATATATAAAAACAATTACACTAAAATATAACCAAAATGATTGGAAAATAACAATTTTTAAGGATATACACGTTCCTACACTTTGATAGCGAACTTAAATTCACCTTTTTTAATTTAATTATACACTTTTGTATTCCTAATACTATAATTTTATTTAATTAAAGTTTTTGCCAGATTTCTCTAAGTGTATTACTTTAGATTCAGCATTTGGCTGCGCTCGTCGTCTCCTGGCGTTGGGTTTTGTCCTCCTGCTTAATGCCACTTCACTTGTGTTTGCTCGTTTTTATACCCTTGCAGAGGGTATTATGATTTCAGTCAGAAGTTTGCAACGCAGTGAAGGAGACGTTTCCGACCCCATAAAGTATATATATTCTTGATCAGCATCACTAGACGAGTCGATCTAGCCATGTCCGTCTGTCCGTCTGTCCGTCTGTCCGTCTGACCGTCTGTCCGTCTGTCCGTCTGTCCGTCTGTCTGTTTCTACGCAAACTAGTCTCTCAGTTTTTGAGCTATCGGGATGAAACTTTCCCAAAAGTCTTCTTTCTATTGCAGGTAGTATATATGTCGGAGCCGACCGGATCGGACAACTATATCTTATAGCTCCCATAGGAACAATCGAAAAAAAAACTTTAAAAAATTCTAACTTCGGTGTTTTTTGAAATATTACCTTCTACTTTTGGGGATGTTATTTTTTTAATATTTCTGAATTTCGAATTAATTATTTAAAAAATCGGACTACTATATCATATAGCTGCCATAGGAACGATCGGAAAATTAATGGAAAAGTAATAGGAAATAAATTCTAGCTTCTTTGGTTTTTGTTGTATTATCTCCTACTCTAGAATATGACTCTTTTTAAATATTTCCGAATTTCAATTTTAATTTTATCGAAATCGGACGACTATATCATATAGCTGCCATAGGAACGATCGGAAAATTAATGGAAAAGTAATAGGAAATAAATTCTAGCTTCTTTGGTTTTTATTGTATTATCTTCTACTCTAGGATATGACTCTTTTTAAATATTTCCGAATTTCAATTTTAATTTAATCAAAATCGGACGACTATATCATATAGCTGCCATAGGAACGAGCGGAAAATTAATGGAAAAGTAATAGGAAATAAATTCTAGCTTCTTTGGTTTTTATTGTATTATCTTCTACTCTAGGATATGACTCTTTTTAAATAATTCCGAATTTCAATTTTAATTTGATCAAAATCGGACGACTATATCATATAGCTGTCATAGGAACCATCGGAAAATTAATGATAAATATTAGAAAATTGAACATTTTTGCGATTTGTTAATTAATAGGAATGATCTGCAAGGGTATATAAGCTTCGGCTGGCCGAAGCTAGCTTCCTTTCTTGTTTAAACATGTTTTATTACATTTTTTTCGCTAGCTGGCGCCGTTTTCATGGCACCGGAAGTTGCCACACACATACATCTATACATAAAGTGTGTGGCAAAATGAGCAATGAGCAAATGAGCAAAATGTTATAAATTGCCAAAAGTCCGCTTTAGCGTTCCCTGAGCTTTTCTTTGTTCTCACCGGTTTTTTGTTTCCCCTGTTTGGTTTGCAGATAATGCACGGGAAAATCTTGTTCACTCTGCTCACTGACCAAATGTGTGGTCCAGGGTTCAACTCCAACCCCAACTGCCTTCCGTTCAGGATAATTATGAATGTGTGGAATGCCCTGGCCGCAGTCTTACCTACGTTTAATTTATGCACAAATAGCCCGAGCAAATTATTCGCTTTGTTCCGCAAATGTTTTTCGAGTGAATTGTGTTTGGTCAGGAAAACCGGGCGGAAAAAGTGGGAAACTTTCGCCGGCGTTTCATCTTCCACTCCAATATCTATGGAGATTAACGAGAGTGTGGTGCTGGTGGTGGCTTTTCCTTTTCCACACATTTCCCGCCGCCCTTTCATTCCGACCATAATCGCCTTTTCTTGCCAGTGGCCGGCATATGCCCATCGTTAGCTGGATATCCTG